GATATGTGACAAGTAAATAAATTTGTAACATAAAATTATGAATATGTGACCATTAATCACAAAATGTGACTTTATTATCTTTATTTAATAAATATTTTTAATTAATTAAATAAATACCTGATTTTTGAATTTTTAAATTATTTACCTTATTTTTGAATTGAGAGAAAGAAAACATTTTAAATATGATTTTTTTCCCAATCTGTAAAGAAGGTATATATAAATTTGAAAAAATTGGAAAAAACTGTATTCCCTAAGATAGTTAAAACACACTCGCACTAATATCCCCGATAATTGAAAATGACTTAACCTACATTTACATCCACTTGTACACTTTGGTATATATTTTGTCGCGTGACATTATTCCATTGAACTATTAAAATTTAAACGATTTTTCATGTAATTATCACAACAATGCAAGTGTCAATCAAAGTGTATAAATTCAGTGTACAAATGACAAAGTTCAATTGAAAAATGAATTATGCCATTCGTACCCGGGCATGTAAATGCCCGGGTACACGGGCCCACAGCCCCTCTCACAATGAGGGGCCCCCCGAGGTGATTAAAATAATGGCGGGCCCCCCTCATTGTGAGAGGGGGGCGTGGGGTTGGGTACACGAGCGTGTAAACGCCCGTGTACCTGTAGCAAGATCCTTGAAAAATACAATGAATGGTTAGTCTTTTTGAAGAATAATCTTATTTATCATTATGATGATAGAATATCGTTGATGTGACGTTTATATGGAATAATGACATTGGATAGCTCAATTTTTTATGAAAGAGAGGAGAAGAAAGAAAGTAAAATGTAATGGATAATGGGTTGCCACATCACCAAAACACAAAAACAAGACAATAAAGACTATATGGTGGAAAGTAATCATCATGCATAATAATAAAATAATTACTATAGATTGCATGCAAACGAAAAAGTATAGAAAAAAAAAAAGAAGCAACTTCGTTTTGATGCATATGTATACAGAGAAAAATTCACACGTCACCAAATTAATTTTGATTCACGTGACATAGATAATTATGTTTATAAAAATTATTACTTTCTAATCAATTCACTTTGATTTTGAGATAATCGTGTTGATAACATGTTATAAACTAGAGATAACAAAAGAAAGAAGTCAATAAACTTGTATGCTTTATTAAAAATCAAAGTCTCATATTTATAGAAAGAATTATGGTTAGAAGGAATACAAAAGTCATAATGACTAGGGCTGCAGGAGTATAAAAGTCATTCATAAATATTACTATATTTACAACATTTTTCAATTTTGGTCATGTGACTATATTTTCCTACAAAAATAAGGAAAATATTTACTTCAGGAAGAAGTTATTTTTATTTTTCAAATAATTCACTCTTGTTCTCTCTCTTATCTAACTCATCTACCTATCAATAAAAAATGAACAAGTATAATATTTTCTAAACTAAAAACTAAATCAATCAAATACAATTACTTAATAATTTTCATACGAATAAGTTCAAGGCAATTGAATTACCTACAATTTATTTTCCTTCCTTGCAAATTTCATTCCCGCAATCAAACATCCATTAGCATTCCAAAGAAGATTAGTAGTATGAAAGTTTTGATATTGGTAACGGTTTTGGATAGGTTTGAGGATGGGATTTGTTGAAAGTAGTGGTGATTTTGTAGGGATTATGCCTTATGTGTGTGTGTGTTCTTCGAGGAGATCTTCCTCGGGGGGTTGGGCTTTTTTTTGAAAGACGTATATTTCAATCTCTTTGTGTTGAAATAGTATGGAGCCTAGCATAGTTTGGCACACATCCTAAAGCACAAATAATAAGAGCGGAATGCTACGTCGACAGGACAATAACTACAAATCAATAATCAATAACATCGCTTCAAATTTTGGTTGTAGTCCATATGGTGACTTAGGGAAAATATATTTTAAAAATGATATAAGATTTGATCCGACTTTATATTTGCTAAATATGAATGAACATTGAAGATAAATAAACTGAGTCAACAAGTATCTTAACGCTGCATATAACGGTTCTCGATCTTTTAAAATAAGCACTCATTCCGAATACGAATCAAGTCTTAAAACTGTTCATCATGGTTATATTTTCTTGGTGAGTGCATGAGAATTCAATGTGAAGACTTGAGATTGGCAAGCTCGGGATGGATTAATTTTTAGATTTCCATTGATGTCTAGAGGTACACCTTTCTCATATAATATAGGTGGCATTGATAAATTCAGTCAATTGAAGGAATCATTTTTGCTTTGGACCCATCATGAAGATTGATTTTTCTCTAGAGACTATGACTCTTGCTTGAAAATGGGTATAATTTCCCTCATCTTTTTTAATTAATTCCAAAATTTTATTTTCTCTAAATAAATAAATAAATTATTGAGTGAATTGTTTGTTGGACAAATTCTTTGAGTTTACAAGACAAATATTTAAAATTTAGAGATTTCCAAGATATTGATTGAATAAACTGTTGTCTGCCTTTGTCAATCTCTTCAAATTCAATTATGTCAGATTTACAATTTTATCTAAACCAGTTAAATCTCTAATATGTTATATGTTACAGGACAATCTGGCATCACAATTATAAATTTAAAATGTAAAAAATGGTTAGAATTTTTATTCAATTCTATCATCTTTTTTCAATTCCTCTCCCGCCCTGTCGCAAATTTTTTTGATCTAATAGTTACTAGGTGTTTGTTCAAGGAATGTATGATCTTAAAGATATTCTAGAAGACTCTTGAGAAAAACGACTCGAGTATATCACAGTGTCTTGGAATCAGAGGCCAATATCATGTGAAAGATCGGGATCAAAGACCCACCGCTCGTGACTATGACATGCCATGAGCCAAGAACGAGAAGAGGACTCCGCGGAGAAGTCGTAACAAGGTAGAATCAAACATGTGAAAGATCGGGATCAAAGACCCACAGCTCGTGACTTTGACATGCCATGAGCCAAGAATGAGGAGAGGAATTAGCGCTGAAGTCGTAACGAGATATAATCAAAGGGAAGAACACTTGAAATTGAGAGGTTAGCTAGGATGATTGGGTAGAAGAAAATTTGTTTGCCTTTGATGAAAATGTTCGAAGTTTGATCACAAGACTACACGTAAGTCAAAAGAAATGTGTCATTGACGAAATTTTTTTTAATGTAGTGGCAATCAACATTAATGTGTTAATTAAAAATAAAAGAGAGATGTGACATCAATAAATATTGTTGAAAAAAGTAAAATAAAGATCAAAAAGCGTAAAAAACCTTTCCTATTTAAAATTAAAAATGCTTTTTATTATAGATATAATGCTCTTTATAAATAAAAAGTCTCTCAAAAGAGATAGAATTTCGATGGAATTGTATACACACGATAAGATCGTCCACTTAAATGCATTGTGCCTTGAGCCATTCAAAATGTGACAATAGATATAAAAATAAGAGAATTGACATTTTTCCTTATCAAATTCTTGTTTGAATACATTTTTCTTTTTTATTTTCGACCATACATTTTTTGATAAAATAATATTACCTGCAAATTTAAAATTTGTCTTATTTTTAATCATACATTCTTCATTAAAATACTATTTTAAAATACATTTTTGGACAAAAAAAAATTAAGGCTCAAAACGGGTTCCCAATATTGTTCAATACAACGTGGGTTAACTATTTTCTCTTATTATAAGAAAGTAGAAGGTTCAACCTTTTCCGATCAAAAAAAAGAAAGTAGAAGGTTCCTTTTCTTTCTAGCTAGCGATCTTTTTCGTGGGAGGATAAATATAATATAAAAATCTTTAGCCTCCGTGATATTCTTCCACAATTAAAACAAAAGATTCGAAGAGAAAAAGCTCGATTAATGGCCTCAAATAATGGGCGGTAGGTAAATGGATTATAATTTATAGCTTATAATCAAGAAAAAGAAGAGAATACAGAATTATCGAAGATGGACTCAATTCTCTGTGATGAGTTGCTTCAAGATATCTTCCACCGCCTTCCGCCGTCTTGTTCTGCCGCCGTCTCGCTCGTTTGCAAGCGGTGGCTCCGACTTCTCCGGTTATCCACCTCTTCCCTTACTCTTTACTTCAGCCCACCTTCATACAATTCCGCCACCATCAGTTCACTATCCTCTTTCCTCAGCCAACATTCTTATCTTTTTTGGCTCTCTCTTACCCTCCCCACCGACTGCTCCACCGCTGCCGCCGATCATGTCCTCCGTTGTACAGCGTCTTCTTGCCCCAATCTCCGACACCTGCTATTCTTGAGCACACCAGTCTCGCCCTTCTCTCTGTTCAATCTCTCGAATTCTTGTAACCATCTCTCTTCTCTCACTATCTGTCTCTCTAGACCCCTCTATTTCCATTGGGTTAAGTCTTTCAACTCTCTCAAACACCTTTCTCTCTTTCTTGCAAACCCTTCAACTCAATTCAGTTCACTTGATGTCAATGAAATGGATGAAATTCTTGATGTTGAACTGGGTTTAGAGTCTCTCTGTTTATCCGGAATTCAACCGGGGGATTTTGGGCTCCATCTTCTATGGAGAAACTGTAAGAACATCAAGAAACTTCAGCTGAAGAGCTGTGAGAGTCTAGGAGATTACGCCTCTTTTTCGGGTTTCATTATGCGTCAAAAGGGTCTTCAAGAAGTGGAATTGAGAACTTGTAGGAGTATTGTTGATGGGGTTTTGATGAGATTGGCTGAGAATTGTGTTTCTTTGGATTTTCTATTGGTTCATGATGGTGGTAGTAGAGAGGGTCTGCATCAATTCATAAGTCAAAGCAAATGTAAATTAAGAAAGCTTGATTTTCGGTTGCCTCTTGATCTTGACAACAGTCATTTAATTGCCATAACCGAGAATTTGAATTTTAGGAGCTTGGAGAGTTTAAGGTTGCAAAGTTGCAGTCTTGTTACTGGTGAGGGATTAAAGGTTCTTGGGAGGGTTATGGGCAATGGTCTTGAAGAACTTGCATTGATTAACTGTGATGTAGTCGATAGAGAATCGGGCTTGCTGTCCACTCTAGGACAGGATTTGAAGAGGTTAAGGAAACTGGACTTGTCTTATAATAAAATGTTGCTCGATAGGGAGTTCATATCAATGCTCGTTTCTTGTAATTGTTTGAGTGAATTGAAATTGAGGGGTTGTAATCGATTGACAAGCTCATCCGTGAACTCGATGATTAGGAACTGTAAATTGTTGCAGAGCGTTGACATATCGGATTGTGGTGGGATCAAGGTTGAAACAGTCGAATTATTTTTGCTGAATTCTCCGCAGTTGAGAAAGGTTCAAGTCGAGCAAAGCAAAATCTTCGATGTTTCAAGAACATGGTTGATGAATAAATTCATCGACGTGGTCTAAATAGAAAAGGTGCACATATTCATGGCTGTATCATAATCGGTACAATGTTTCTATGGCTTTAATGTGTATATACTATGAAATAAAATGGCAACTTACTTTCGCTGAATTAAAATTTCGTTTATGTAACTGTGTACATGACTCGACAATGTAGTAGCCCTAGGATGTGTATGTTTTCTTGTATGCTTTTTCATTGTGTACTTTGTTATCGAGTTGTTTTAGTTAGAGATTTATAACACATTGAGGAAGCAAAATAAGTGTCTTATTACATGTTTCTTATGATCTCGTATTACCCTATTCGTAAAATTTTTGCTTGCTACCATGTACCGTGTCGGGGTAATCGTGGATGGAAAATTCATACATCTGAATTCAATTTTATTTTTAAAAAAATGTGATTGCTTGTTCATCGTCCATTGTTGTGCATGGACACTCCTAAGCATGTTTGGGACGCATAGGCCTGTTTTTTTTTTTATAAATCAAATAGCAAATTTATTATATACAAAAATGGTTATATATAATCGGTTCTGTGATTATCATTACAGTTGTTATGGATAAATTTTAAAATGAATTAATTAATCCCTTGTTTGACCTGGATTAAAATCAAATTAAAGTCAACCATTAATTTTAACCACATATTTCATAACATTCACAACTTTTCAATAACACATTTTGTTAACTTCTACCAAAATATACTAAAAATTGATTTTAATCTACCCTTGCTATTTTTTCTCATTAAAATTGAGTTGTTTTATGTTTTGACCCATTTTGGCCCAGTCAGGGGCGGACGCAGAAGTTTATAGTTAGGGGGGCATAATCGAACTTACAAAGAAGTTGAGAGAAATTTTACAATCCAAAATTTACGTCTAAAAAAAATATACCCTATGTAATTTGTATCCGAAAATTTACATGAGATATGACTTTTTCGAATGTAAAATTTTGAAATTTTTTAACGTCATATTCCATATAAATTTTCTAATAAAATGCTAAAACTTATATTAAGAAATTTGTATCACAAAAATAATAAATGTTAACTAAATAATTGATTTTTTTTAAAAAAAAATGTGAGTTAGACGTCTTTCTTAAAGACTCACGTTTAACTATTTTCGATATTTGTTCGAACTATTCGATAGCCCATAATGTAGTTTTCAAAATAGGCTTTAAAATGATATAAGCAATTTGTGGATTCGATTAGCGTACGATTGTTGTTGAATTTTTAAAATTAGCTCGTTATCGAAATTTAAATTTATTGTGATTTGGACCCTATTTGGTGGATATTAAAATCAATTTTTTAGTAAATTTTGATAAAAGTTAAATAGTTATGGATTTCATGAAATATGTTATCAAAATTAATTGTCAACTTTGATTTAGATTAATATTTAGATTTTAATCGATACCAAACATAACTTCACAAAAATAAATAAATAAATAAATAAATAATTCAAAAGTTGGAGGGTGGCACATGCCCTCCAGGACCCCCCTTGGTTCTGCCCCTGGGCCCAGTTGTGTACAACTTTCAGCAATCGGGTATAATTTTTGATATGTGAATGAGACATTTCATTTCCTTTCTTTCTTCTTTTTTTCCTGAGCATCAAATATCGGTTCGATACCTCCCATTGAGGTTTATGCCTAGTGGGATCAGTGTAATATTGTTTAATAAAGTTGAAGAATTTTTATTCTTTAGACAATGGGATAGTGTCATAGTAGTTCAATTATGACTTAATCTCCTAATCATCAAGGCTCTAGATAAATAGTGGTATTATTCTTCAAAGAATACTGACAAGAGCAAGAATTGGTGGGTACAATTTCACTACCAACATTTCAACTTTAAATCTTGTGTTAAGAATCAATGAGTCGGGCAATCTCATCAAACAGTTTACTGTGTATTATTGCCTAAGTGACGGGGTCTCGTCGGGAATAAAGGGACTTCTCGTTTTTATTTGTGCTGGATTGGTGCCTTGTCTGCACTAACAAGGGTTACGGAGGGGATGAACCGGGAATAAATTGAATTAATTTACATTTTGGTTTATGAATTTTATAGTAGTAGAAATATACGTGGAAACTACGAAATGTTTTGAATGGGTGCGGGCCGGCAGTGGCGGCCAGGTGGCCTGTAACCGCTCGGAGACAAAATTTGTTATACAAAAATTGATTTGCAAAATATAATATTTCATATATAGTGAACAAGAACAAAATGGAAATAAAATGCAATGGTAACGGAAAAAGGAATTTGCAAATCAAGGTCCGTGTAAACATAGATTTCTTAAAACAGATTTGCTCCCTAACCTTAAGTGTTTTAAGGTTTCTTTTAAACGTCTGTATCTCATGATACGATATAAAATCAGTAGAGTTTGAACAATTTAGATGTTACTCCAATGAACTGAATTATATTAAAACATGATCACTAAGGCTTCGACAGAAAGTGAAAATATTTGCAGACCAAAGATTTGCACTCCTTTGCACGCGCACCTTGAGAAAGCCTGTGTATTACACATGATTATACCATTCCAAAGTCAACCGTGCTATAAGTATAATTTTTTTGACAACAAGTTTGATAATGTGCCACATGTTGAAGGTTGAAGGGTGCGGGCCGGCAGTGGCGGCCAAGAGGCCTGTAACCGCGCGGAGACCAAATTTGTCATACAAAAATTGATTTGCAAAATATAATATTTCATATATAGTGAACAAGAACAAAATGGAAATAAAATGCAATGGTAAGGGCAAAAGTAATTTGCAAATCAAGGTCCGTGTAAACATAGATTTCTTAAAACAGATTTGCTCCCTCACCTTAAGTGTTTAAGATTTCTTTTAAGCGTCTGTATCTTATGATACAATGTAAAATCACTAGAGTTTGAACAATTCAGATGTTACTCCAATGAACTGAATTATATTAAAACACGACCACTAAGGCTTCGATAGAAAGTGAAAATATTTGCAGACCAAAGATTGCACTCCTGTGCACGCGCACCTTGAGAAAGCCTATGTATTACACATGATTATACCATTCCAAAGTCAACCATGCTATAAGTACAATTTTTTTGACAACAAGTTTGCCAATGTGTCACATGTTGAAGGTTGATTGGCCAGTTTTTAAACACCACACATTTTCCCGNTTTAAACACCACACACTTTCCCGTCAATTCGAATTTGAATTAACATGAATTGTCAAATTCCTTGTCAACCATGAATTGTACATAAAACATTATTCTTTTCAAGTGTAATCATATATAAAGTAGTATTTTCTTTCATGAACGTCATATGTGGAACACATTTAAATAGTTTTCCCTCTAACACAAACATCTTTCAATTCATCAATTTTGAACTTCAATTTCTTAATCACTCGAGCAATAATTTTGACAAGTAAATACATATTTTCAATATTCTCATAGAGAATAACACGAATCAACATTGATATTTCAAAAAGAATGAAAAGATCCCATTCAAAATTATGTCAGAAAGTAGCCCGCTAGTCATTTTTTCCAACAAAAATATGGTTGCAACTTGCAAAAAGGATTTGGAAAAATTAAAATTCAAAAAATGGAGGGAAGGTAAAGAAAAAATTTAACGTTGTTATTCTCAAATATGGAATCTTATTCTTCATAGGATTCCTTTTTAATGACATTAATTTGTGGATCTCAATTCGTTCCTTCTTTCTTCACCGTCTTCAATGCATTGGATTCTTATCCATTTATGTACCCTTTCATTAATTCCAATCCAATTATGTTATGACATTTCTTTTCTTAAACTTCTCAGCTTATAATTAGTAAGAATTAATTAATTTTTTTATAGAAAAAGACTTTTAATTAGCTCTTTATACCATTTAATCTTTCTTATTGTCCCCACACGCTAACCAATTAGCAACTTTATTATGGAAATTCGGTTAAGATAATACTTTGTAATGGTTATCAAAGGTATAACTTTCTTCGAGTCAATCAGAAATAGTAACTACCACTAACCTAAATATGGGGACTTTTAAGGAAGTTGACTCTTTTTTGTTTGTGTCTGTTGACTCTTTTATTGCACTCGAGCATGATCTTTATTAATTTTTTATGTCCGTTAAAATAACATTTGATTCTATTTTTGATCTTGATAGTAACACACGAAAGCAACACTCACCATGACAAAATCATACTCAATTTTCATTTAAATGCAAATTAAGGGATTGACCTATGTATCATTAAACGGTGTTCTAAAAAATCAAATACGCAAAACGAAACTAGACAATAATTTCAACAATTTGACACAATATTGATTCAAAATAAAAGAAGACAATGGTGACAATGTTCGAACTTATCCTTAAAATTTGAAGGGGGGCTTAGATGAAAATAATATAGATTGTATATATCTACAAAGAGTAATGTTATTCATCTATGCTGGGGTTACAAACACAGTTGAGGTGGCGTTAATGTGACATTAAATGATAGGTGAAATTAAATAAGTTATTTAATTTCATATTTCAGTTAACATATCATTTACAGTCATCTAAACTATGTTTGTAACATCACTGGGGATGAATAACACTACTCATCTACAAATTAAGAAGAAGTTTGTTTATTAAAAGCCAAAATGACAAGAATCTGACAAAAAACTTTAAATTCAGCTAGCATTAAAAATAGCTTTGTTAATTAATGCTAATCCACATAAGACTCTTTATACTAAAGAAGCCATTGCATTTGGTGAACTTCCCCTTATTACCTTTTAAACAAATCACTTTGATTATGCACAAAATCTTCATTACTTTACCTCAATTTAGTGTATTCAGAATTAGCAAATGGCAATACTTTAATCTTCATAAAATTTAAGTGATAATTATCATAACAATGTTTAACCTAGTCAACACTTTGACTTGTTCATTCTTTTGTTGAACTTTTCTTTTCTTGCAGGTGAATTTATCTTCATCACGTTTGTCTCAACTTGAAAACAACTTGTTTTCAACATAGTGCTTATTCGGAATAACTTAAATAGTTGCTAAAAATTTGAAATTACAACAAATAATTAATTTTAAT